GCTTCATGTTAAATCTATTTTTAAAAAGAATGTAATATAATTATTAAATAGAAGGGCAACTGCTCTCATAAAAATGCCCCTTTTGTTTATGGAGATTATTGGCTCTTTTCCTACCTTGTGTAAGCTTTCTATGGAGTCAGTTCATGGCAGTCTGACAATTGCAACATATACTGTGGTTAGAAGTGCTGTAAACAAAACCAAAACAACAAGTTTAATAGTGTTTCATAATACATTATAATTTAAACATTTGCAGTAGGGTAATGGAATTTAGTATTTGAAGATCAGAATAGTGTTTTCAAAAAGCAGCGTTCTTTATTTTCTAACTCTTTCTCTTGGATACAATGCAGTTTTTCTGCTCCTTCCCCTTTTATGCTACAGGAACAGGATCTAATGAGAAACATTCATAGTCTCAGTATTATTGCTTGTTCACATTCAGCTCCTCACAAGACTTATTACTTTACATTGACTCTCATCATTGTAAAAATTATATATTTCACTCTGAATAAAAAAAAATACCAGTTGAGTTTACTTCTTATATTCTCTTGTTTGAGCTAGAGCATATGGAAGTTTCATTATAACTAAAACGTAATATCCAGTCTCTAAGGTAACCAAAATAGCTTTGTAATGACTATAAAAGTTAAATGTGTATGTGTGGGGGTTTAATACTAAGAAAGGTCTGATCTTGCAGTTATTACTCGGGCAAAAATTCCATTGAAGTTAATGGACATTTTGCTTGAGCAAAGTGTGCAGGTTCAGGCTCCACTGGCTTGAACACTGACATAGACCTCAGGGGTGGAGGAGCAAACTCAGGTAAGCATCAGTTGTTTTGCAAGGGTGAGAGGTGTTTTGGTTTGTTTTTCCAACTAAACTGGTTTCTGGCGAGTTCTTCAGGGCTCCTGTACACGTGTGTGGAGCCTGCTCCGGAAATCCAGCACATCGGCGCGGACTCGATTAATCTGCAAACTGTTTAATCACGTCTGCTGGAGCATGGAAATAGACGTGCTCCAGCGGCCTTCTGCGTCACGCGCATCAGCGTCCCTGCACTGAAAAACCAGCAGCAGGGTGCTTTAAAATAAAACACACTCGATGAGCTTTAGTTCAAATACCCCGCTGCCACTTTTTTGGCACGGGGACACTGATACACGTGAGGCGTGGGCACTTTTAATTAGCGCGGCTTGCTAATTAAGGCGCCTGGCGCAGCGTCCCAAGCCACATGTGAAAATGCCTTCAGTGTCTATTCTGAGTACAGGCTATGCAGGCTCTGAAAGCAAGTTGTGAACATGCTTCAATGAAAGTCTCTCCTTCAGGTTTAATGAATGTCAAATTAGTTTGCTCTGTGTATGCTATTAGCAGGTAACTGCTGATAGTGATACAGATTAGTTGTTAACTCATGATAAAAATGTCAATAGTTGGGTTACCTTAAACTATAAAAAGAAAAGGGCAGGTCTGTAGAAGTACACCAACATTTCTGTTTTTACAAGGCATTTATTGCTGCTGTTACAAAACAAGTTAATGAGCATCTAATATCAATTTAAATTTTTAAAAAATGACATTCTTTTAATCCCTCAGTTTAAATGTAATAACATTTTAAAATCCCTTTCCAGGAATTTTGTCAGAGATAATAGTCTTCCCGTTTGAATTCTACTGGGACATTAGATTTTCCTCACTGTTAGGACTATTAAACTAAAACGTGGAAAACCCAGCTCTACTTCAGGAATGTAGGACACCTCTTTCCCCTTTAGAGGGACCATAATCCCATACTAAATTTGGGGCATCTGTGCAAATTTTGGGGAATGGCTATCTCATCTTCAGCTTGCATTTGTTACAGAAGTAGGATTTTCTTTCATTTATAATGTATAACTTAAGTTTATGGGAAAATGACCTTTTCCCCCTCCAAAAAAACATCAATAGCTGTTCTGGGGGGAAAAATGCAATGTACTGGGGGTGAGTTTCCTTTTAAAAATGACCTGTAAATGGTGAGTTGAATTGATTCCTTCTTTTGCTGATTAGTAGAGTGCTGGACAGTTTGTTTTTTTTTAATTGGGTTGTTTATACTAATACTTGCTTATCCTGACTTTTCCTAACGGTTGTGGATAAACTAGTGGGTTAGTGACATCACAGATATTCAGGGAGCAAACTTTGATTAATTGAAAGGCGAATTGTTGCTTTACTTCAGATGGTTAATATCACCCCTTTTTACTTTTAACAGAAACGTAGATAAAATGTAAACCGAACAGGAGAAAAGCTGTTCTGTTAAAGATTTAATTCCCTTAGCCCTTTTACTAAGGGATAAGAGACGTCTCAGTCCATTTCTCTGGGCCCTCACATGTAAACCTTCAATAAAAATAGAGACGAAAAGACTGGGTATATCTGATAGCACTAAACTGTATAAAACCTTATGGCCCTTTATACATCACAAAGAAGCAAAAAGCCATAATTCCTTCTTTCCCTTTTATTTTTTCTTTTAGCAGGTAACTTTTAGAGGTATTTCTTAACTTAGAAGTCATATTTCTACCTGAAAGCTTTATTTACCTGTTGCTTAAAAAAAAAAAAGAGAGAGGGGGTAGGGAATAAAGGAAACGGAGAACTGGTTTCCTCTTTTTTTAGGCTGTTTGCTCTGTGTCTTTGACAGTACTGTGTGCATAATCAGTTCTCATCTGTGTTGATCGTAGAAGAATAAGGCTGGAAAGGACTTCAGGATGTCATTGAGTTCAACCCCCTGGTCAAAGCAGGATTATCCCTGATAGAGCTATGCTAGTCAAATATTTAGTCCATAGTCCATCTGACTTCTTGGTACCCTGTTCTAAAAAGGTTTTGTTTTGTGGGAGCGTGTTAGTGTTTTTCTCCTGATTCTCCATGAGTGCATGGTGAGCCTCCTGGCAGTTCACAATAATAGAGATGAATGTTGCTAGCTTATCTAAGCAATAGGCTGCTTACAGATGATAAAAAAAAAAAAAATTTAAAAAGAGCTTTACCAGAAGAAGCAGCACGTTACTTTGACTTGGTTCTTCAGTGTTGGTATAGATCAGACACTTAAGAGGGGCTTTTTGGTGCTTTTATATAAATCTATTTGATAAAAGTACCAAACAAGCCTCACTAAAGCCACCCAATCTATACAGACATTGAGCGAGCCCGGTCCAACTAATGTGCTGCCTCTTCTGGGCATGTGCTGGGCTTGGTGAGGGAGCACGCAGAGTTTAAAATGAGTGCCTTTTATTTTTATTTTTGTTAAACTATATATAGCTGCTTGCAGATGTTAATTCAGGGCTGTCCCATTGTCAGAGGATGGCAGGCTGCTCACACTACGCATGTAGCAAGTAGGAGGCAACTGTGCTGCCTGCAGGCAGGTGGGGGTGGGATTTATAGCCCATGTAGCATGTAGATCTGGGGTCTGCTGGCCACATGACATGTGGCCTCCTGCTACCATCCTGAAGTTGAACAGCCCTTATTTAATTCTCTCAGGTTCATCGTGGAAATGGATTTTATGTTGCAGGAATCATGGGGTAGCATCTCTTGCAAGTCAACTGCAAGGACCATGGGTGACTGGTGTCACCTGAGTCTGGGGGGGCACCAGTGGGGTATGACAGGGGGACGGGGGTCAGCCAGCCGGCAACCAGAGCAACCAGTAGAGCCAATTTCAGGGGGGACACTCTGTGCCCCCCTACCAGCCGAAGCCCCCGTACCCTCTCCGACGCATCACATCGCCTATGGCAAAAGCCAAGAATGGGGGAACAGCCAGATGATTTTCTTCTCTTCCTTAGACCCCTTCCGAATACAGGAGGACAGTTGTTTTACTGAATCTAGTCCCAGCTCAGCAAGTGTGTGGGGCTCCGTACACTCCTTTTATACTTCTCAGTTGGCTTGATGAAGCAGTGGGGATTAGAGGAAATCTCAGACCTTCCACAGGGTAGGAGAAGAAGGGTAAAGAGGTAGGAACATCCTCATGCCGGTGATAGTCTACCCAGAACCCTGCTCAAACCAGGAGAAAGTAGCATTTGAAGGTTGAGATACTCATCTTCACTGATCACTGCATACAGGTGGAGTTAGACTTGAAACATAAAGGGAGTTTTTACTCCAAAGTCTTCCATGGGACTAGGGAATACAACCAGAGAGCAATAAGGTGCATGTAAAAAGCCAGAGAAACTTGATGAGGAAGCACCACTGGGCTGGTGTATGACAGGAGGTGATATTTTTTTCCCCTGTTCCTGGAACAAGGTAGGGCTGCATCACAAATCCAAAGCCAGGCAAAAAAGGTGGACTATGTTTATAGTTTTACTGGTGACCCTTTAGAAAAAGGATTAAGGCCTTTGATATGGAGGCGCATCTATTTGGACCCATTTATGCTCATGCAGTGACCATGAAAGTTACTGGATTTGCACTTGTATAACTGACAGAATGCTTGGCAGGCAAACAGAAAGGCCTTCAAAGACCGTCCACAAGCACTTCTTTACTAGTGCATCCATATAAACCTCATCAGAGGGATTCAAAAGGAAACGTATTTACTGGCATAAAAACTTAAGCAAAACCAAAAAAAGGAAATGGTATTAGGTCAGCTACTTGGCATGCAATATGTACTCAGGTAATGTATTATTTACACACAAAGCCATTTAGAAAAAAACAGTGTTCTTTTAAGAGGCAAAATAAATTTTATTTGTTGCTTTAATTAATTTTGGATACCAAGTTTAGCTTTATAAGCAGGAGCAGCACGGTTTACTTCAGTCAAATTCAGTACATTTCCATCAATTCTGACCTCTGGTCCTTGAAATGTGAGAGTAGTTAAAAGTATTTTTTTTTTTAAGTTTTTCCCTTCCCAGACCTTATATTGAAAAGGAAGGTTTGTCAGTTGACATCTTAAGTATACAATAAACCTTATATTTTATTTATGGAATTTCTGGTTTCCATATTACCTATGTTCAGTTTTGAGTAATGGGATTAACTGAACTGTAAAAAATGTGTAGTTTAATGAAACACAATATAACATATTTTCTTTTTCCTTTAAGGTGGTTTAGCCTAGAATCCAAACAAGGCAAAAGGACTAAAGACAGAGGAGAAATAAAAGTCAGTATTCAGTTTATGAGGAATAATATGACAGCAAGCATGTTTGACCTGTCGATGAAAGATAAAACAAAATCCCCTTTTGCTAAACTAAAGGACAAAATGAAGGGTCGAAAAAGTGACGGGACGTTTTCGGACACATCTTCTGCAATCGTTCCAAGTACTCACACACATGATGCAAACATTGAAGCATCCAGTAGTGAAATGCAAATGAAATCAAAACCAAAAAAACCTTTCCTTTTGGGACCTCAGCGACTCTCTTCAGCTCATTCGATGTCTGATTTAACTGGGTCTCATGCGTCTTCAGAAAAATTGAAATCCAGTGCAATTGGTCACACTCAACTTTTCCGACGTCAGCTAGAATCCTTTAGTTCTGTTGATGAAACAGGTAAGTAAAGCCTGCTTTTCCTAATTGTGGCCGCTGTAATTGCAGCTTAATTGCTATTGATGTGTGAGAACTTTTAAGAATTTGTTGTTTTTAGCACGTTTTAACCTGAAAACCAAAAAGTTAAGTATGAATTTTCTTAAAAATCTTGCCTTTTCATTTTGATCAGCAGGTGATCCCTATTTCTTGTTCAGGCTGTTGCCAAGAAACAAGGGATATTCTGCACCTGTCACACTTTACGATTATTTTTCATCATCCATTTTTTTCCAACATGCTGGTAATAAAACACTACGTTTTATGTTGCAAAAAGTATGTGAGTAATTTTACCTCTCAGAAATTTTTCAGAAAAAACAAACTTAATCATGTTTCATTTTTAGAAAATTAAAAATTGGATAAACCTGAGATAAGTGAAGATTTGAAAAGCCTTTAAGTTGTTCAAAGTTTTCTTGTCTACCAATACATTTTTTTGTCATTTTTCTAAAACTCCACTTTCTTTGTGAAACCTAATTTTCTTACAAAGTTTGTTTTATTGTGGTGCCTGTATATATTTGAAAAGTTTCGTAACCAGAAATTTCAGACCACAGCTCTTTTGCATTTTTTAAATCAGTAAATTATTCAACCTCACAACTTTTGAAAGAAATCCAGCTAATTCTAAATCTGAACTCATATGAGCTCTCCACCTGTCATGAAGTATGATGATAATGTCTTATTGATTATATACTAACAGCAAAATTGTTTGCAGGAAGTATAAAATCTCCACATAGGAGGACATTGAGTGCTGATACTTCTAAAATGAACCAGGATGACAGCACAGGTGGCGAAAGAGAATCAGCTTTTGAAGCACAAAATGATCCATTTACAAACGTGAGTGCTTCATTACCCCAAAAGTTTGCTACTCTGCCAAGACAAAAAAATCCATTTGAAGAAACTCCTTCATCATGGGATCAGAACATAAATCTGTTTTCTAAACCTGTTGAAATCAAAAAAGAAACCAGAAAAGAGAAAAAGGAGAAAGTTAGTCTTTTTGAAAGAGTGACTGGTAAAAAAGATAGCAGGAGGTCGGATAAACTTAGCAATGGGGGATCAGAAAGTTCTACTGACTTGAAATCACCTAGTGCATTTGGTGAAATTCATCAGGAGAGTTTTAATTACGATTCAACTAATCCGTTTACAGCAAACTTCAAGCCTACAAGCGTGTTGCCATCATCTAGGTAGGTTTTACTTTATTTGGATCTGATATGTTGAGCATCTTACGTGAATGACAACATGAAGTGTTCATGAATATCATCTTTTTGCCTTATATATGTTTATACCATTGCTTACCTGTTTGTAAGTAAAATATGAACTTTATATATAAATTTGATGTCTTCTCTTTCCAGTAAAATGTAAACGGAACAGAAGAAAAGCTGTTCTGTTAAAGATTTAATTCCCTTAGCCCTTTTACTAAGGGATAAGAGACTTCTCAGTCCATTTCTCTGGGCCCTCACATATAAACCTTCAATAAAAATAGAGAAGAAAAGACTGGGTATATCTGATATCACTAAACTGTATAAAACCTTATGGCCCTTTATACATCACAAAGAAGCAAAAAGCCATAATTCCTCCTTTCCCTCTTATTTTTTCTTTTAACAAGTAACTTTTAGAGGTATTTCTTAACTTAAAAGTCATATTTCTATCTGAAAGCTTTATTTACCTGTTGCTTAAAAAAAAAAGAAAGAGAGGGTGGGGAATAAAGATCGTTTTGAAGTTACAAATATATCAGTAATATACTGTGAAAACCTTTTAGTGCTTGGATTTCTAAAGATATTCTGCATGTGTTATCATGGATTGTTCCCAACAGTCTTGACCTTAGCTGGATGCTGGTTTACTACTGAGTTTTGGAGAGCGCTCACTTTTAAAAAGTCACTTTCAAATTATTGTAACATTCAGATACATCTACATGGGTAATTTGGGAAAGTTAAGATATATCAATGAATAACATGGAGAAATATGCTTAAGTTAGTTTGTTAGTCTCCCAAGGGGACTCCCATTCACCAGGGGCAGAGAAGCCTTAAAGCAGAGGATCCAACTCCCAGGCCGCGACCCAGTATCAGACTACGAAGGGTTGGCTGCCGGTCCACAGGAGGGTTGACTGCCGGACGTCCAGAACTGACTGGCATATTGCGGACCAGCAGCCAACCCTTTTTTATACTGAGTATAAAAAGGTCCGCAGTATGCCAGTCACTTCCAGTATGCAGTATGCTGGTCCGCAGTTTGCCGGTCCATGGTTACTTCTGGCCCATGGTTTGCCAGTCTGCGGTCTAAAAAGGTTGGGAACCACTACCTTTGTTTGTAATAACATAATTCATAGCAAGCTCTCTCTTCTTAGAAAATTATTTTCTCCTCAAAGGGAGCATCTGCAGGAGATTTAATTCTCCATAAGTTATGCATACTGTTTTCCTACCTTTCCTGATTTGCTGTAACTTTTTTGAGAGTGCTGTAACCACTATAATCAAGTCATGAGTAGTAAAGCAGCTGTTTCCTATGCCAGTGCTGTCTAACTTCTAAGTCCTCCAGGTGCTGCCTTCATCACGGGCTGCACCAGTCTAGCCACAGGCCACATAGTCATGGGGACACTTGCCCCCTTGCACAGTGTGGTCATGCAAGCACAGTCGGTTCCCACCATGACTCCAACAGACGCCCTTTTGGACACCCTTCCCACTGCTTCGTAGACTGCTGCTCCCTACCCCTCGGTTGCACCACCCAGGCATGATCCGCCACACATGGCCCTGTACTTGCCCTCAGTTCCCTGTGCCTCTTGCTGCATTGTCCTGTCCTGCCCCTTGGGCCAGAGGCAGGAAGCAGAAGCCAGAATAGGGTGGGGGGCCCAGACACTTCAGCTGCTGTTGCAAGCTAGAGCGAGGGTGAGGATCAGCAGCCAAGCAGAAGTCCAGGAGCCACAACTTATCTCCTTGTGGGTTGCAGATGAACCATGGGCCACCGGTTTGAAACCCCTGTCCTATGCTCAGCAAGTTGGACTGGTTTTAAAGCAGCCAGTGGGAAATCTTGATGTCACGCATTTCTTTTATGTTTTGGATTTGTACTTTTTAATTATTTTCTTCAATAAAAATTGTTTCTCCTTGTTTGGTATAAATTAGTTCTATTTTTTGCATACCAGGAGGATGAACTGTATATAGGTACCTGGCTGTATGTAATTGTATGTCTAAAATGATATGTATAGTGTATCCTTCCCTTGAGAAAAGTGTGTGTGGATGTATTATATCAACCAGAGAAAGAATATGTGCATATATTTTATATATTATATGCATGTGTATATGTATGATTTTATGTATTTATATTAATCTGTCATTAAAATGTAACTGCTTATTTAAGCAGTTATATAGTTTGACCTCCATTTATACAGTTTTGACATTTTGCATGGAAAAGGCTAGACAACAGTTTAGAATATGGTCTTACGTGTAAAATACGATCAGTTATGTCTCCAGAAATGCATTAATCTTGGAAACTGAAATATAAAGCAGCATTTTAAGATTTGCTGAACAAACAGTTAGTTTTAAATGCAAAACATAATCTTGATGATCTTGGTTCCTTTTTCATACATATCCAGTACGTTTAAGGAAGTTTCATATTATTTAACTGATAGATACATTTCTGTTTTATTTTAAATATGAAGTTAGTGAATAGAATTAATTTGTTGATCACCATGTCCTTTTAGATTTTAGAACTAGTAGAGTTCATTTTCTCACAGCACAATCTGATTCACAGATTAGAAGAGAAAAACAAATCTTCCCGTTTTCATTTCGTGGTGGGTTTTTGGGGTGTTTTTTTTTTGTTTCCCACCCCATTTCTGGTCATTTTACTGAATTAGTTGAAAAAACTGAAATGCTTCCACTAACTTCCACTATTTCAGTGTGTTTTTTCTCATCAAAATATCGATAATGGACTACTTGAATATTATTTATTAATCTAAATTATTTTGATAACAGTGGATACATCTAGATGTGAAATGAATGCAATGCAATAAACTGTGGAGCAATTTGCACCGGAATCATTTGCTCCCACATGCAGCATCTACACATGCACCCAAGACAGTAGCAATTTGAACGTGGTCAGAGTAGCCCCCGGCTGACTGGGCCCAATTTATGCTCCTGGTCACCATTTACACATGAGTTTCAGCATATTAAAGTACTCGGCTAAAAGACAGTACTATGCCCGACACTGCTGTCCTACAGCAGAGTTAATTAGTTTAGGGCATCGTAATACTGGTGCACATGTAGACAGTGACTCTTTACTGCAGAGTTAATTAGTCAACTCCACAGTAAACCACATGTGTTAGATGTACACAGTAAGTTAAGATACTGGCCTAGGTTGTAATAAATTAAAGTTGAATTTTGAGTAGGTTTGTTTTTTTTTAAATGGAAACTTATTGAATTTGAATAAAAATCCAATTTATATTTCAAATACCAGAATGCTGCAGGTTTTCATAAATGTTAATCTTGAATGGCAGTGGCTATAAGGCTATAGAATAATGCTTAATTTCTTCAAATTTATTGTCACAGCACATCACAGTACCTATTTAGTAGGGATTCTTTCTTATTCCACTTTTTGCCAAAAAATGCAGTCATTTTTAGAAAAAAAAAGTTTTTCATTTTTATTGCTTATATACATTTTACTAAAAAGGCTCTTGGACGACTTCATTTAAACTTTAATATGCATTCTATTATTTTTACAAAGCCAAAATATATATGTTGATCACATTTTATTGTAAGACGATTGCTATAAGGAAATATCCATCGTGTATTAGATATAAATGAGAATCTCTATTTTTACACATTCCATTCTTAGAAGCATATAAACATCTTTATAATCTCTTTGTTGACTTGTATGTTATGCATGTTTTCTTTTGAAATTAAGTCAAAATGTTACTATTTAAGTTTCCTGTTTGCATATTCTGACTGTGGAAAGTCAGAAAAATGTTCATTTTTAGAGTTGGTGATTATACTAGGGAGCTCAGATGTATACACCTGTGGACAAAATATAAATTAGGTTGAGTAAACATCATCATTATTAATATGCATGTTCATCTTTGAATTGGGATGCATACACTGAGAATTTAGATATGGAGTTGTGTTGCTTATTTGCTCATTTCCTTACTCCCCAGATTTTAAGCTCTGTATGGCAGGGACCTTTTCTCCCTTTATCAGTAAAGCAACTGGCATGCTTTTTTATTCAAATTATGAACTGCTATTATTTATGTAGAAGTCTTTTCCAGTGTAAGTTTTAGTACCTTCTGAAATATTCTGAATTTTAATTTCCCAAATAGTATTTCTCATAGCCGCTGCGTATACTATTTGCCACTCATGCAATGTAAATGGGTACCATGCTACAAAAGGAAAAATATTGTGAAAAGAGCTATTCTGATTTTGAAAGAGATGCCTCACTGTACTTCAGTGCAACCAGTTCTGAAATTAGCCAATTCAACCAGACAGATAGCACTCATTCTCCACTCTAAGCATTATTGGCTTATTTTATTTCTAAAGCAGCTTAGTGATTTAAACATCTGCCTGTTGACTGTGTTGACAGCATATCTCCAGTATACACTAATGGGGTAGAGTCTGCTTTCCAGGCATCAGAATGGCTGGCCTTAGACACCTCTAAAATTTAAAATGCTGAAAAAAACATACATCCTTTTCTAAGACCAAAGGTTTCCTGACAGTTGAAAATGGTGGCTCTGGTTTTGTTACTGGTTCTAGATCAGTGGTTCCCAGCCTATTTGCAATAGTGAGCTACACTTGCAGCTCTCAGTGTGTTTCATGGGCTGCACCCCCACAACTTCTAGTGTATCCATTTGACATGATGTCACATGGGCTGGAGCAGTGTGCTGATTGGACCACATGCAGCCTGCAGGCCATGGGTTGAGAACCACTGCTCTAGATCATCGGAAATAAGAACAATGCAATTTTTTTTTTCATCTGGATCCAATTGACTATGTAGAAGATTGGCAATGAAATTTGGGATTACGCTTTTTATGTTGACTTTTAAAAAAAAATATTTATTACTGGAGGTACCTGGGTACTGAATTTGTTGTCACAGCTTTGAGCACAGAAGCACTGTGTAGGCGTTAAAAATATAATTTGATGTTGGTGTTGAAAGTAGGCATGGCTTGCGTTGAGTGTTTGAAGGATCTTGTGACATCAGCTTGCTCTTTTGC